CTGAACTCTGCATCAGTATTACTGGTGTTAATATTTCTCATTAGTTTAATATTTAAAACCCACAAACAGATGTAAGGAGTGTGAAAATAAAGTAATAAAACAAAAATTCCAAAATATGGAGATACAAGGTTTCTGCCTGACAGCAACAATATGCAATATATGCTAGACATATGTCTGTGTGTGTGTGTGTGTGTTTCAGCTATATTAATAATGACTTTTATATAATGACTAACTTGATTCTGTACTAATTGTTTTAAATAAACTAAATTATTTTTTTTGTCTTTAAACAATTCAGAATAAACATTCCCAAATTAGCATTTAATATTTACAATTTTTGATTTTTCAAATGTTAAAGTAATTGAAGCATTATTTGTATTTTTATTTTAAGAAAATTATTTATAATATTTTTTATAAAGATTCATTTAAAGAATTTAAATCAAACTTTTTCAAAAAGAGTGTTACATTTGACAGGAAACATATAAATGTAATTAGAAAACAAGTAATAAGATTGAGCTGTTAATGTTATGTGTTCCTTGAATACAGTTTTATTTATAAAGTATATGCATATGTACAGAATACATTAAAATCAAAGGGGACACATACTATTATTCATTCATTTAGAATTTTATTCAAACTTTTGAAACTGAGTGGATCATATTTTTTCTGCCATAATGAACAATTTATTCTGTTTGTTACAATTATATTTAATAATAATTAGTAAAATAAAAATAATGATAATAAAGAGATGAATATGCAGACCACGAATAGTTTTATTTTTTAAATTGCACCAGTATTTAATAATATTTTCATCATGGAAAGAAAATAATAAATATATTACATGTTGAGAATTCATTACTCAGAAGAAGGTAAACATGACACAATTCAGAATTTTTAATCTGTATCTCACTGACTGTCTCACACGTCTCAAACAACATAATTATACACAATTTACAATAAAGAAAAAAGCACAGGAGTCCGTCCAGAAGCCCCCTGTTTCCCGGGCCTTTCATCTCCCAGACTGGCAGCGAGACACATCAGACATTATGAGATAATTAAAAAGCCTGTGGAGCGATTAGGTTATTCTCACACGTGGGGGGCGGCGATGGCAGCCCGAACCTGGCTTTAGTAATCTCCCAAATATGGAGCGCCGGCCTCGTCCAATCACGTGGCTCGATCTGCTCAGCTCCCACAGATACAATCCAGTTCATCTGGAGTTCATCATGGCGGCCGCGGCGGAGGATGGACTGGATGTGACGGCGCGATCTCGGCCACACTGAAGTTTTGTTCTGGACTCTTCCCGCAGCCACGGAGAACCTGTTGAGATGAAGGCTGTCATGAGGCTTCTCATCTTCCACTCCTCTTTGTTTCATGCATTCATTCATAGCAGTTCACTCCACTCCATGATGTTTGTGCCTCCTCAAACACACTCAAAATACTTGTGCTGTACATTCCTCCAATCCTGATCTCATAAAAATGCTTTTCCACGCCATGAGCCAGCGCAAACACAAACCCAGATACTGAAGCCCCTGAGTAATCTGTGTATGCCCTGCTTTTGCGTGTGGCGTTTGACTGGGACAGTGCTGCCATCAGCAGGGCAGTGAGTGTGCCTTTAAATCAGGCCCGTCAGTCAGAGCACACAGTCCGACATTAGAGGCCACAGATTCCCCACAAGGGACTATTTTCTTTCCACATCTACTTGCCCCCCCCCCCATGGTGCAGGAACATGTAAAAACGTGTGAAACTCCTTGTTCCCCTGCGCGTTCTCCATCTCCCCTGAGAGCATTAAAAGCGTAATACCTCGGAGGCCGCAGCCCCGCCTTGAAACAGACTGCAAACCTCTCACCCGTTAATGTTGTGAAGCAAGGACTGCAGAGCGGTAACTAAACCAGGCCGCCATGTGCTGTCGAGATATCCTTATGTGCTGTTTTTCTCACTTAAGCTGTCTGATTGAATGCGGAAGATATTCGTCCGACGGCAATAATACCGACCGGCTAATTCTTTAGTAATACGTTCTTATTAAGTTCACTGACGTACTGTGTGTGTGTGTCTGTAAAAAAGTACTCAATGACGTGTATAAGTCTTGAATTAAAGTAGTATTGCAGTAGTGGTAGAAAGGGCAGCAGTTGTGGAAGTAATAGGCAGATATATTATTTAAGTAAAAGTAGCAATATCATAGTTTGAAAAATAAACGCTGCATTGTAAAGTAAAAATATAAAAGTATTATCAGAAAGATGTACTAGAGTACTAGAGTATCAGAAGCAATTAAAAATGACTCCATATAAGTTATATTACAGGATGAGTGAGTAGGGGTCCCCAGTAAACGGAGGAATACAGTATCAGTTTAATTATTTCAGAAGTTGGAACAAGAAATGGGGGAAAAATGGCACTGACCGTCTTGATTGATTGTGATTTAAGAGCCTAATTTGATCATTGATTGACGATGAAGACTTCATTGTCTTCAAACTTAAAGACAAAAAAAATACTTCCTTAATTTCTTAAGACAAAATCCTCTCAAATTGGGTTGCATGGTCTAAAGTGCACCTACTGTGGGGGTCCCTGACATGAAAAAACAAGCAAAAGGCGACCCCTGTTATGTGTAAAATAAATGTAGTACAGCACTGGCATTGAAGAGCTATGTCTGACAAAAGAACTACATCTCTATAAAAAACGAGATAAGACATATAAAAGCACACAGCAGTGATAAAAGGAAGTCCAGGAGTAAAGAGAGAGGGTCCGGCTATAAATCTCAACCTATAAAACAAGTTGAAACAAATGATTTAAAACATAATAAGAGCTTGCATGAGCAGGAATATAACACGCCCAATGTCGAAAATCTGCTGGCCTCCAATAAAATCAAGCCAGAAGCCGCCATTCACCTCATATATTGTTAACGTATAATTGGTATTCCTGCAGAATATATGTTATTACATTTTTGGTGACTACATGCTTGTATTAATACAAATACAGTATTTAAAATCAACAATTAAATGGAAAATAATAATAACAACCACCATCTAATATTATTGCTAATATTTACTATTTGTGTATTTACGTAGTTTTACATATGCACATACATGTATAACTAATAACATACACACAGATATACATGCAGACACTACCTACTACTCCATCTTAAAACTGAAATAATAAAAATACAGAGAAGGAATATGAACAGGTTTGATTCATTTTTAGACTGTACCAAATGGCCACCCTCGATTTTATAAAAAATAAAACTGATGAAAAATGTGTAATTCTGCTTCACTATTAATCTTTTTCTGAAAGAAACAAATTTGAAGGCATAAGCCTTTTAGATCAACTATAGTCATTGCGGACTTGGTCTATTAGCTCGTTTTCAAAACATCCACCATAATTGTCACATCCCCGTACTGCCCCTACTGTCACTGTGCGTATTGCATCTTGTGGAGTAGCGTTTATTTCTGAGGACGCGCACATCCATTGCTCCAAATGCACGCAGCATACGCGAGGCAGCCATCACACACACACATACACACACACGCTTAGTAAAAAGCCTCTCCAGGTTAAGTAGGCCTGAGAGAACCTGAACGAGTAAATTCAACACACTGCAGTCAGCTTTTCATAACGTCTGAACTATGAATGCTTTTGTGTTTTGTCGTTTGGATAAATGTTTCGTTATGTATGTGAAAGACAAACTTCAGATTAATACTCTCATAATAAATCTAATCAGATCAGATAATCAGATAAACAACTATAGAATAATGCCCACTCTACATACATTATGAGCAAACCCACACTTACACAAGTGCTCCAGCTGTATATTAAGTCCTTACAATGTCGAGAGCACATAATTACAAGCAGTTGAACCTTTGCGTTGTGACTACATGAAGTTCTCTTCACATCGGCAAAGCAGTTAAAGGGTTAAAGTGTAATCATGATGAGAACAACAAACGACAACCTGACCGCTTTATACAAACAGACCAGGAGAATGATGACTCCAAATCGTCTCTGGCCTTCGCAGCTTATGATATGGAAAAAATTTCATTTTGATTAGGCCACCAAGTTATTCAATATAGCATAACGTGCTTCAGTGGCTAAACTCAATACAGCTCAATCGAGGGTCTGTGTGATTTTTCTGTAATGACCCGGGCCAATGGGGCTGATTGAGGATCCATTGTCTTCATTTCTAAGCACCCTCATCATATCTGTATCAAGAAACCCTGGTTGGCGGGGCCCGCCGCAGCACCAAGCTGTTATGTAGGTTAGCTGCACAAAAGCGCTTTAATCCAAGAGCGGAAATAAATAAATAAAAGTGTTTGGAGAGAGGTGAGTGCTCGGTCAGCTCGTCTGCACATCCCACACACTGCCACAGTTGTGTCACATCCGAGAGCAGCCATTAGGCCTCCGCTGATCTAATGTGGAGCGAGTGTGCCGTCTACCGTACAAACCGGGCGCCGATGCAAAACCGCTAGCTGAACCCGCGCTCCACCGTACACCTCCAGCAAGGCCACACATCCAATCATACTACGAGCCAGACTAATTGATCCCGTCATCATTAATCCGAGGCATGGGGTGTCTGCACTGTGGGGGTTACAAGAAACATTGGCAATCTTGACATATTTGCTTTGATAAAATTGACATTTTAGGTTGAAAAATGCACAGGTTTGAAACCGGGCAATTTGTTTGTGCATGGCAACAGTTTATCCACATCTTTTCTGTCAGAACAGCTGACTAAATTCATTGTCATCATATCATACAAGCACTTTCTCTTCTCATCCACTATCTTCATTTCATATTTTAAATTTAAACTGAAATTCTATTTGCTTTTGGATTAGCTAAAGATTTTCTTTTTCCACAATAAAACTTAATTTAAAAAGGTACATAAACATTCAATACAGTCAAATGTATAATGTATAATGTAATTTATAACAGATTTTTTTTTGCAATAAAACCTTATTAAAAAAGGGTTTAAATTAATTATGAAATATAATAACAAATTATATTTTAACCAGATTTCAAGTTTATTAAACTTTATTTTTTCACAATAAAATGTCATTTTGATTTTCACAATAAAAACCTTCACATGTCAAATATTGAATCCTTTAATTTCTCTATATAAAAAATTTAATTATGTACATTTGATTTAAAATGTGGTTGAAGTTGAATTTAATTCATTAGGATTTACGTTTGACAAAGGTTTTTTATTTTTTTATTTATTCTGATTTATACAGTTCAACTCTTCATATTGAGAAAATGCATTTCATTTGTTAAATTTGAATTAAAATACAAATAACATTTTATTAAATATATTTTTTTATTTGGTAAATGTTTTTTATATAAAAACACATTTTGAAAGTATTTCAACATTAAAATGTACACACTCTTCATATAGGAATACATTTAATTTAACATTTCAAATTTGAATTTAAATATAATTATAGTGGACATAAGATTAAAACTTTGGTGAGGTTTTCTTTTTAAATAATAAAATCATAAAAAATAATAAAACATTATTTTTTTAAAATGTAAATAAATGAAATAAATCTTGCTATAAGAGATGAAATTGACTATCAATCATATAGCTACTTTATAAAATGTAGTAAAACATAAACAAATGTAAAGTTTAAACTCATTTGCATTAAAAAAAATCATTGCATTCACTTTTTTAAGTATTTTTTTCAAGTATTTAAGACTTCAATTGTTATATTAAATGAAATGAAAGTGAATTTAAATTATGCATGAGGACTTTACTGAACATGTGCATTGTACATGTTAAAGCTGAAGATGTATAACAAACCACTGCATATGTGAGGGTTTATTGGATGAAAAGCTGTCGAGCTTCCTTCCACAACACATTCCACACGATTTAAGATCAGTACTCCTCTAACACTTTACTCCCTCCACAACTGACTCACTTGGAGTTGGGGGGTGTGGGGGGAGGAATACCAGAGGCAAATTAAAGGAGTCCAAGGTGTTCACCTGTTGAATCCTTCCTCTCCCCTGAACAAGGTTAAGAGCCCGAGGCTGTCATTCGTATAAAGTGTGAACTTTCCTTCGTATGAGGCCAAGACATGGAAAAGCACCGGGGGGCACCGTGTCAGAGAAAATACTACTCCAGCCCTGCGATTGAAGTGTGGACTTAAAGCCATGATGGAAAAGGGCAGAGCGGCTCTCTCTGGCAATTGCCGGCTGAAATGCTCTATACGCATGACACTGTGAAAGTGCATTACCTTTTTCCACACAGCCCTTTCAACCCCTTGCAAAGCCCCGCTGCTTACAAAAATACATCAAGAGGTGAGTTTGATTTGTGTGCATTTGAGTGCAATTTCCAGTGTCCCATCCATCTCTCAGTACTTCTGTTGAACACAACTTCTCTCTTTCTCCACCATCTTTCTCCCTGTCTCTCGGCGTGACCTCTCGGTGACCAGCCACTCCTGCCCACTCAGACACCGAAGGACAAGACACACTGAGAACATCTCCACTCAGGGAGGGAGAAGCAGAAATATGTAGTCTGTGTTTCGTTTTTTTTTTCATTTGAAAATGTTTTACTTTTGCCTTGAAAATAAATGTTTTATGCAAGGTGCCATTTTAGTGCAAAACAAGTGCATGAATTACATTTACTCAAATAAAAAATAAAATCTGATGTCAATTCGAAAGTTGTATCCCTTTATTTCTGTCAAAACAACAAGAGGTCAATCATAAATAAATGCATTTCTTTTTCAGCTTTTTGCTATTATTGATGAGGTTTAAGTCGACAGAAAACTAACAAATTGCATTCAAATCCCATAATGCCTCATGTACAAGGATGTGAACCCAACCAAAATAAAAAAATACTAATAATAAAAATAAAAATGAGTAATAACGCTATAAAATCCAGGTTTTTATGTTAAAGTAAGTGTTTATATGCGTAAAATATCACAGATATTTGTTAGCTTTATTAGGTTTAGCTGCTAATGAGAAACAGATTCCTCAAATAATAAAAACTTAAAAAATGCGTTTTTTAAAATTATTATATGTTATTATACATTTTTAATACATGATATGATTTCGATACTAAATCGATTAACAGCAAGTTTTTACTTTGCATTCTACTATATGGAAGTTATAATGCGCCACAATTTAAATATGAAACTGACCAGCTGCAAAATACATTTCGCACAGAAGGTTTAATAAGATACACATCTTCCATTTTATCCCCAGTAACAGTGGCTGCAATAAAAATATTTGAAATATAGATTTCGAGGTCTTAGATTAAGCGTAGGTACTAATTAAGATTTTCTTTGCTGGTAAATAAAATACCTTTCTTGTAATTCCTGAATAATCTTCCTGCAGTGTTTCCGTGCAAATTACTGAATGAAACATAATCTATGTATGCATAATGCAACATTATTGTAATTATGTTCCTAATTACATATAGAAAGTAAATGTAAACTGACATTTTAAACCAGCGCCAAGTTGTGATTTTATGAAATGTCATTGTATGAGGGTTTGATTACGTCGGCGAAAGCCAAAATAAACCATATTTAATTTATCTGACATTTCTGTTATAGTTAAAAGTACAATTTTATTTTATTATTATTATTTATTTAACACAACTTCAAGCTGATATATATTTATATTTAATAAAATAATATAATATAATAATACAATGTATGTACAATCCTTCCTCTGTGTCAGACATAGCGTATTTTAAATTGTGTCTTACATCAGGCTGTTTTCCCACAGCTCAACGGCGCATTATATCATGTATCCTGCTCCTGCCCTTTATAGCACAGTGCACCTCATGTTAATATGAGCTGAACACTGGGTGAACGAGGCTGAACGCCCGGAATGACCGTCCACCTGAGACCTACAGCGCACACACAAACACAGCTTCACCTGGTTATATAAAAATATGATGGGAGATGGTACGACCCTGCAGAGAGAGAGAGAGAGAGGCATCCCCATAATAATTATGGCCTATAGCTGAAGGGCCACTGCACTCTCTGGCACACACTGGCCTACATACACCCTGAGTGAACTTGATCAAAAAAAGTGCTGCCTTTCAGATCCTCCTGTCCTCAGTGTATCATGTGTACAGCTGAGTGTGTGTAAGTCCAATAGAATACACTTTGTACTATAAGAAAGACTCCAGAATAAGGGCCGGTAGAGTTTGTATTTTCCAGGCCGTATGATCCCGGCCCTGCTGAAACGCGATAGTGTGCAATCACATAGGTATGGCTGTAATTTCTGCTCCTGCCTGATTATAATTGCCAGTTTTGGCTCTTCTTCAGGATGCTCCGCCGACTTGCCCTACACAGGGATCCTGCTCTGCTGGAGAAAAACAGCCGTCGTGCCTACGCGACTTCTGACCCCGTCTGTTATCAACCTCTCATCCTCTGAGCGAACGATTGAAACACTGACCCACGGTTGTGACTGATGATGGTGACTAATGATAGCCTGAGAAAACGATGAAATTCATAAGAACCATGTGTGCTCCTCCCACGATTAGTGTCGTGTTACAGAATCCAGGTCTGGTCTCCAGGTGAAGCTTTTGATCAGTTTAAAGGTTTCTAATATTGAATCAGTGCTGAGTTATTAAATATATTAATAAATATAATAAACATACAGTTTCTGGTGAGAATTTGTGTGATTGCATAATAGTCTGATTAAACTGAGCTGAGTAGTAGTAGTTGAGGTATTAGTAAGGGGAGCAGGGAGGCCATCATCAG